CCCCCCCCCCAATATTTCACAAAGTGGCCGCCACTTGCACATACGGTGGCTTAAAAGGTCTTAAAACTGTTTATTCTTACACAACCGTACGTTGTAAATATAAAGTGGTCTATATAGGCTAAGTATGTTATTAATTAGGCAAGCATATAATACTTGATGTAAAGCGCATTTGATCATCACTGATTCACATGTAAACCTCCGCTATATAGAAATGCCATATATAATCGTATATCGTTTTCCTACCTCAAAAAAACTAATCCTTCCATCTTAGATGTACTCCGTGTTGTGTTCATGCATGCAAGGAAACTTTGAGCAAGTTCATCACAAATCTGGTGAAAGAAAAGATGGTGTATACACAGTTTAGGTTGACATAAATTTTTACTTTTTATTCCATTAGTTCAAACCACCACATTAAGCAAACCTATCTCGACAACAGCGACACCCGTGCCGTCAAGTTGTTCAAGTTTATACACATCTGGTGAAAGAAAAGACGGTGTTTACACTATCAACCCTGATGGCTTTGGATCTTTCCAAGTCAGATGTGATATGCGAAGAGATCGTGCATGGAGGTTGGACAGTGTTCCAAAGAAGACAAGACGCAAGTGTAGATTTCTATCGTGGGTGGCAAGATTACAAAAATGGTTTTGGTAATCTTAACGGTAATTTTTGGCTCGGATTGGATCGAATACATCGTTTGGCAAAATCGGGACAAAACGTTCTAAGAGTGGAATTGACTGATTTTAATGACCACGTCGCGTACGCAAAGTATGGATCGTTTTCTGTGGCGTCTGAGCGTGACGATTATAGACTGGACCTGGGTAGTTTTTTAGGTAAATTTAGTTAACGAAGCAGATACAAAACTGATCATTCAAAAACTGAAAAACAGAATTAAAATTCATGAATTTAGAATTCATGAATTCAAGATTTACTTTCAATAAGTTTTCATCAAATTCCTAATGGTGGAAGAATGCGATTCGCATCAGCCATTTTCTCTTATAATGATACAAAAAAAATGTGTTATGATACATTTATTATTTTCTTTTGCCAAGGTAATGCTGGTGATTCGTTGGCACATCACAACGGAATGAAGTTCTCCACCTACGACAGAGATAATGATCAATCGAAGGACATCAACTGTGCCGACCACTCCCACGGTGCATGGTGGTACAGGGGGTGTTTCGTCTCCAACCTCAATGCTCTTTACGTGACGCCAGAACAAAATTCAGACAGAGGAATTACTTGGTACAATTGGAAACAATACAGTCCCCTGAAAAAATCCGAGATGAAAATACGCCCTACTCAATTTTAGAAATGTTTCACACAAACCTGATTTGCAAAACTCTACTAGGACTCTATAGTGAATTGTACGTACGTTTCATCGACTATTTATTATTTTATGTATACTATTAATTTGCACGACATAGCCATAATTTCCATTGATGGGTTTTTGAATCATGGTTTTTAAAGATTTACTAGTATGTATAAGTATACTATCAATGTAAAATTATTGTTATATTATAGATTTTGCATGTGGTAAATTGGTAGAAACCATCATGATGTTTAATGGTAGTATGGTACTTTTCTGTGCACAGGAAAAAATGAAGTCCCATTAATTAATGGTAAACATTAAACATCGTGGTTTTACAGTTTATATGGGAAATCTATAATCTTTCACAAGAATTACAAAATTGGTTCTGAAGAAAAGTAGGACGGGGGGATCCCCCAATTCGTCCTCTCTGTGGCTACGTCTCTGCTGTCTGTGATTTTCATAGATTTTGCTCTTGCTATATATACCACAATGCACCGATATTAATGAAATCTTCATAGTTTAACTAGATGGGAAAAGGTAGAATTAACTACGCATGTGTAGACTTAGTTTCCACTAGATGTCAGTTTATTGTAATAAATTATACCTCAAAGTGTCCAATCACAAAGCTAAGTTTGTGCCACGTGAGCATGAAATTTATGATCGAATGACGTCTTACGTCATCGTATTCATCGTCTCCCCCCGGGTGATTAATCATATCAACCAGTGATATCAACCCCCGGGTGATATGATTCGCGCAAACCCACGGCCACGCGCGACCTCACGCAAACAAGATGGCCGACAAAGTATATTAAAGTCAGATGAATTAATGAGATTTTTAAACTTGAAAGCTCGTTTTTATTAAACATTTTGAAGCAAATTTTGAAAAATGTTACCATCAATATTCCAAACGATATGAAAATGGAAAGGAACGTGAGAGATACTTGCGTTAAATAAAAAAAAAAAATAAAGCATCGTAGTCACGAACTTAGGTATGTGCAGTACACAATGTGGCAATTTAGTGCCAAGTTAAAAGTTTTATATTCTCAACTTGGTTTATATCAATTGAAGCGAGGGGGATTCGGCAAAATATTAGCCGAAGTGATGATATTTTCCAAGGGGTTTTTGATAAATATCAGTTTAAGTGAAGCAAATTAGTGATATATTAAATTTTAGACTTTAATATTAAAAGCCACGCGTCTTCAGAATCTTTTCCACATATTATATCTAAAGCCGGCGAGTACAGCTCTACTAGGCCTTCTATTTTTAACTTCAGCACTTTTTTAGCACCCAGCTTTCATTTCATCTGTAACATCATGCCTACCAAATCACCAAATGCTAAACCCAAAGTTGATCAAACCTAGCAAAGGCCAAAGCCAACCAAGTGAAGGTCTAGGCTTGGGCGAGAATATAAAACCGGTGCTTGAACTGAAAATGACATCATTTGAAAGGTACTTTGTGAATGCCGAAATTCTATTGTGACGCACACATGGAAATTGTAGCTGATATAATATGAGTGCCTGTGGAGCTCGCGCATCGAAACTTTGTCAAATAGACTAATATATGTGGCGTTTCCACAAATCACAACAATAAATTACAGTTATTCAAGTCTAAATGAAAGAGAATTACACCAAATGAAAGAAAATGTTTTAAATTAGCAAATGATATTTTTATTATTTTATTTGACATATACATAGCATTTACTATTATTATATTGTCATGTGTGGTCCTGCCATATGTACAAATGTTCATCTTGTACATATGAATGTAAGTCATTATAAAATTGCAGTGATTCAATTAGCCTTTCTCATGATGACGAACATCCGCCATTTTTGGGTGGCATCCAATTCTCGTTAACCAATACAGACAATTAAAACAATGTGAAAAGCAATTTTTCAAAATAAACTAACCATTTCCAAAGCAAATTTACCATCATTCGTCCAAAAAATTATAAAAAGTCACTGTTACGTGGGCTTATCTCGCAGACTTCGGCTGAAATGCCACCCAAAAATGGCGGCGTGAGAAAGGCTAATTGCATTGATTCCTTTTTTGAAGCATTTGCACATTCCATCATCTTTTAATTGTGGATTCTTTACGTCTTAGAAAAACACTATGACCTATAAAATTGAAGCAAAATAATTTCATTCGTGATTGGGCATGCATTTGTCGTTAATTATTTCATCTTTTTCACTATCAAGTAGAATTGTGAGTCGTCTTCTTTGTTTGAAGGATCAAACTAAAGGTGAAGTGATATGAACAACAAAGTTGCTACAACTTGCCACAAAAACTGATATCAATGCATGTTAAGAAGAATTATTTACAAACTATATGTGGTCTCATATTTTGATATTTGGTTAGGGACCGGTCATAAAGTAACTGCTAGGGTGGGCTGGAGTGATTTGGGCTGGAGTGATTTGGGATGGGCCATGGAAAATCTTTGCGCAGTTTTGATGGGCCGCCAATTTTTTTGTATGTCCACGGTTGGGCCACCAAACAAAAACCCATGCATGCAGTGTCTACTTCAAAAAATAAAGATATTAATAATAAAAGTAAACAAAACTATCCAAATTATCAAATGCAAATGATACTATTGAAGCCAGTACTTTGTTTATACAACAAGAAGAAGTGGTTGAATCATAGCAAATACAACCAACTGGAGAGCAGCTCATTATCGTAATTGGTGATGAATGTGTTGGTCAAGCTTGGTGGAATTATGTGTGTCAATACAGTGCCGGTGTATATTTACAATGTTCATACCTGCAAGTTTTTTTTTTATTATAAAAGTGTATTTTCCCAATTTAGATTGGGTGGGTCATGAAAATTTTTTTGTAAGATTAGATGGGCTTTGAAATTTTTATCTACATCCTAAGATGGGTCACCAAACTTATTGGCAAAATTTGTGATTTACCTCCAGCTAGCCCACCCTAGCAGTTACTTTATGACCAGTCCCTTACTTATGTGCGAGCATTTTTTATTAACATGCATTGAAATCAGTTTTTTTTGCAAGTTGCAGCAATGCTGTTTGTTGCTCATATTACAATGAAAGGTAGCAATTCATGATACAATCATAACATAAATCTAATGTTAATGTAAAATGATGTAAACTCTTGTTCGAACTGATTTGAATTGGGTTTGGCCAAGGGCCTTTTTAAAGAATTTGTCTGTGCATGGCATCTACAAAAAGGGACCATTCTATACTGAGTGTGGAGAGATTACTGATAGTTTTTGGTAACAAAAAGTTTGGTGTGGTGTTTTATGTTAGGACCGCATTTTGTGCGTTTTCTGAAAGGGCTGGGGCACCATTGGGCTTTGGGGGGGGGGAGCTTTGGCCCCCCAGTTATATAGTTAAAAGGCTCTGGTTCGGTTCGCCCTGCAAATGAAATGTTTGACGTTTGAACTAAATAGTAAAAGAATACAGAAAATGAAGTATGACCTCTTCCTCAGTAGGATCGACTGTCGGCAACTCAGTTGTCTCTTGAGTTTGTTCACGTTCAGGCGATGCAAACCAGCTCCATTTGCTAGTGGGTTTCTCTGTCTCTTCACCACTGCTTTCTGGATCGTCTCCACTTTCATCCCCAGAATATGAAATTTCAGTCGTTTTCAATATATTTTGCCATGACGTTGGGAACTACATATATAGTAATAAATGTACAATTTTTTATGGTTGTTGGTGACAAAAACTTTGGTTTGGTGTCGTATGTAATGGTACTGGGGGTCTGTATTTTCCACCCCTAGGACTGCATTTTGTGCATTTTCTGAAACAGATTTTTTGACAACGTTAAGGCCCTGTCACACTATTGCGTATGAGAGAAAGTATTAGAAGCGTATGAAAATTAATAAAATAATTTTCATACGCACAAAAATCCTTTGAAATGCCAGCGTATGAGTACTGTATTTCGCGCTATACGATACGCAATAGTATGACAGGGCCTTTACACTGTACTGTAGGTAGAACGAATCTTCAGTTAAGTAGTTGCATGGTGTGTTCATGTAAATACCACAACTCGGTCACTAACTTGTTTAGCATAGCCTTCCAACAACTCAAATCTATCTAGGGTCTGGGTTGTGCTATCCACTGGGATATTCTTAAAATCTAAGGTATTTACAACACAATGTTTGCATTTTTAAATAGCCATTTTTAAATAGACAAGATAAAAGACATGACATAAGATTCACAAAGCAAATTTCAGTTACTAGAATATCAAACTTCACTTCTAAATTCCGTTTTTCTTCATTGTTTTGCTTGCGTATTAGAGAAGAGGGACTTTGACTTGGGTGGGGGGGGATAAGTGCTCCCCTATATAGTTGCAAGCCTCTAGTTCGGGCATTCGGTTCCCGGGCAAATAAAATGTTTGACGTTTGAACTAAATAGTAAAAGAATACAGAAAATGAAGAATTACCTCAATAGGATCAACTATCGGTAACTCAATTGTTTCTTGAGTGGGTTTCTCTGTCTCTTCACCACTGCTTTCTGAATTGTCTCCACTTTCATCCCCAGAATATGAAGTTTCAGTTGTTTTCAATATATTCTGCCATGATGTTGGAAACTATATAGCAATAAATGTGTCATTTTCAAAACCAACCTTGTAGAAGCCGGAGTCACCACGCCCACGGCAAAGAAACAAGTTTGTGATTGGTTTATTATAACAAAGAAACTCAATAAAAGGTTTGATAGATTTTCTAAAGCCGAGTCACACAAAGCATGTTTATTTTAGCTTCATGTTTAGTGAGAAGCCGAGAAAATGGACACTAAAGTTTTACTGTTAAATTAAGAGATATAGACAATTCCCATTATAGACTAATTTTAAAACTAGGCAAGGAGATGCAAATAAATCACCACAGCCAGAAAGAGCATACTAAAATGAGTAAAATTGCAAAGTTTGGTTTTGAAATGCGGAAAATATAGCCTTGCAAAGTTTGCAAATTTTGTATACTTTTGTTTTGCGTGCGGAAATTGCTTTTCGGCTCAAATGTGGTTGCGTAGCAATTTCCGCACGCAATACAAATTAAAGTATACAAAATTTGCGAACTTTGCAAGGTTATATTCATTTTAGTATGCTCTTTCTAGCTGTGGTGATTTGTTTCCGTCTCCTTGCATAGTTTTAAAATTAGTCTTTAATGGGAATTGTCTATTATACTTTATAGATCAACAATAATAATCATCAAAAATGTTTTGCTTTCGAATTATTGCTATATATTTTTAAGTGGTAGATAAAGCATTAGCGCTCGATCTGAATTCATTTACACTAGCCCAAGGCAAGTGATTGGGATCAGTTGAAGTATGCAACCCCCCATAATTAAGTTACTTCTCCAAAGAACTGCCTTCATGAATATTTAAAAGTGTCTTTAGTAAATAAAATAGGGTTTATCAAAGAACGAGGCAGCTATTTAGAGAACTCATCTATATGGGGGTCGTATACTTCAATTGATCCAGTGATTGTAAATCCCATACAGATTGGACGCGATCGGGCGCCTTTATAGACTATTTTAAAATCGGAATCGCCGAACGAAATGCAATCGAATCATTAATAAGAAAATCAAACAAAAAGGTTAAATAAAATGTTAATCAAGAGGAAATTTGTATCCGATTTACACGCATTAATTAAAAATTTGTGAAGCATGGACGTAGCCTGCGTGCAGCCTCAACCCGAATTTTTTAAATATCTACTTGAGTAGATAAAATTAAATATCTACTCAAGTAGATACTTGAGGCTGCACGCAGGGTAGCATGGACGCCGTTCCACATTTACCTCTGTTGTTACTTTGATACTTGGAGTTTGTTGTGCGCAGATACCCCGCGTCATCATGTATAGACGATCACTACCTTTACAGAACAGACCTTGGTCACACGTTCCATCAAGTCCCCACAAACCGCCGCACGTTTCGCCTTCAACTTTGGCACATGTTTTGCAACACAGGCAAACATCGTCTACCAGACCGCCTTTGCATCGTCGTTTCAACGACTCTGTATCCTCACACCGTGCCATGCGGCAATAGCAACTGAGTCCTTGGGCTCCATAAACTGACAGGACAAACAAGAAAGCGAGCGACACTATGGTATTCATATTTTCATATAATTATATAAAATAGTATATTCCTGACCTTCGTTCGTTAATAAACGTTTCAGTGTGACGTTGATCAAGGATCAACGACAACTTATATATAGTTTAAACAGGATGTCTTCAATCTGATACGTGTTTCCCGATAATATACTCCAATCGACTACTTTCGTCTGTTTTATGCAACCAATGACTTCGTCAATGAATAGCGCAAGCCAGGTACGATTTCAGACTTTCTGATTCTCTCGGACTTAATATTTCGAAATACACTACTGTATGAATTAAATATTCTTCAGTGTCAACGTTTTATATATTGGGTGTTGCGTATTTTTATTCCATATGTTTCAGTTCGTTGACAGGACTTATCATCACTTTATCCCTCTTCCCTCAGGGAGGTGCATTGCCAACGTAAGTGACATATGCGTCACAACACTCCGCATTGTTGTATTTAGTTACAGGAATAAGCACGTTTTGATTTGATATCTTTGGGATTTTAATCACTTCTAAAAATTGTGCAAATCACTCCTAAAAAGTGTGGTGAACGTGCGAGATAAAAAAATCATGCGATTTTTTTTGTGCTGTTTTCATTTTTCACGGATCTTTTTATTTTTTCAAAACATTTTTCCCCATTCTCTTTTAAATTAGAATCACTCCTAAAAAGTGCACGAGATAAAAAAAATCATGTGACTTTTTTTGTGATTTTTAAATTTTTTTGTTGATTTTTATCATCTATTATGATTTTAAATCAGTGATTTGCCCCTCGTTAATTTTTCTCATATTTGTGAAAAATTGATGTACAGTAGCACGTGCAGATTGGCACATATAGATTGACTAGATTGGGTAGGGTAATATTCTAATGTTGAAGGGTTTGATAGATGGAAATTTGAGTGTTACTAAATAGAAATCTAAGGCCTGCATGGGTCGGTGCCAAATTCCGAGGGGTATATTACTCTGAAAAAAGCGTGCGAAGATTTTTGGGATTAAAAAATCCCGGCAATTTTTCTCGGGATTCTGGGATTTTTTCCCCAAATTTAAGGGATTTGGGGATTTCAGTTTCAGCTGATTTTTTCGAAATATTTTCCCTTATTTTTTTCCGCCGAACTTTTTAGGAAATTTTTTGCGATTTTTTTTAAACGAAATAAATCAACGGAAGGGCATTTTCATGCCAATTCACGATTTAAATATTTAAATGTGATGGGATTTCCCAATATTGCAATAATTTTGAGGATTTTATGGGCTTTTTCCATGCAAGTATTTTATGCAATTTTTAGAGATTTCTTGGGATTTTGGGATTCTGGGATTTAGTAAGATTTTGGGATTTTTCCAAAGATTTTTTTTGATTTTTGATGAAGTGTACGAAGATTTTCAGAGTAAGTACCGCCTCGCCAAATTCAGTGGCCAAACCGCCAAACCTAGTGCAATTAGCTCAAACAATAAGCTTAGGTCATTTACACAGTTAGACTATAGTTATTTCGGCACATGATTACTTTGATTTGCGAAAATTCACGTTGGTTCTCATCGAGAAGCTACATCCAGATACTATGAGTTCACTGGCATGTTTCCACGAAACCTATTAGTCGCTGGCGGCTGCAGTGACTAATTAAGTAATTAGCATGCACCATTAAGCTAAGTTGTATAATTGACCCTGGCGCTCATTGTTGACAAAGTTAATGATAATATTGTACAATACAAATGTCCAATATTAATAAAGTAAATATCAGATTAATTAAGTACTTGGTAAGAAATCATCTCGGCTTATTTTCTGTAACCATGCAATACGTGATTCGTGGGGCATTTCTGCGTATACAAGGCCATAGCCTGTCGAAGGGAAGATGGCTGTGAAACTCATTAGAATAACAATATAACTCATTATCTATGTTAGTCAACGTTTATTCATAAATCTGGTCCTTCACCGTCACGTGTGTGTTGTATTTTTGCCCAACTAACCAATAGCAATGTTTTAGGAAAGTTGCCTATGCGTGACTCGAACAATAGGGAAATTGGAAATTGCTATTGGTGGATTTGGCAAAAATACAATACTTATACACACGTGGCGTTGAAGGAACAGGTTCATGAATAAACGCAGCCATCTTCCCTTCGACAGGCTATGATTAGGCAAAGACACTGATGGGAGTGTGATGACGTCAGTCGAAACCTGGAATCGATCAAAAATTTTGTTTGAGGCACCCAGCAGTTATGAACTTGACCTTGAAAACTCCATCGTATGGGCCGGAGACAGATGATAGCGTGCCTGTCGCCCATTTGGGAAGTAAATAACTTTTTCATTTTGGGAAATATATTTACTTCTTTTCTATTTTAGGAAGTAAGTTGAATTAACTAAAGAAACTATGTGGATAAATATCGAGATTCGGGACATCTCGTTTGATGAAAGTCATGGAACCGGTAGTAGACTGTTTTGTACTTTTGTTTACAGTAGATGAATCATGAAATACTCGAACGCGAACCTACATCCACTTTGTCACTTATTTTGAATTTATGATAAATTTTCTTTGCCGCAGTTGTAATATCCACTTTGTCACTTATTTCGGATTTATGATAAATTTTCTTTGCCGCAGTTGTAATATTAATAGAGAGATTTTACTTTGACGAGCGAAAGATTATTCTAATGCTAAGTTAAACCAGGTTTTGAAAGGCATCTCAATCCAAATGAACAAACTTTATACATAGTCTAACTCTTTGTTAACCATCTTGTTAACCAACTTGTTAACCATCATGGGATCAGAATAATGACAAATTCCACCGGCCCTTTGTTCGTAGGCCGATATGTGACGCATTTAAAACGCATAACCGGCGTATCTCCTCCCAATTAAAGGTGTGACATAAATCTGAATAACGTCCGACATGTAGCCTGCTGTGAAAAGAAGTATTTTTAACTACTGATTCAGCAGCCATAATGGTAGGGTAAAACGCGGATACGGACTGATGGATGGCGGGCGAGAGGACGGACGGACTTATGTTCTTATTAAACGTCATTTAAGAGGCAGTCCGTGTAAAAACCGACCACTCGAATTTCTTAAGATTACAGATTTCCTTCAAACTTTCTGTGTGGAAGAAGTCATTCATAAAATGAACAAAAAACGTTGACTTTGAAATTGTAGTCAGTTTTAAAAAATTTTTCGCAATTATTTTCGGACACGTTCGAAAACAAGTTAAAACGTTAATTACGCAAGTGATATTTGAGCTTTTTTATATCTCACAGTTCATCTCGCGCTTTTATTCTAACTTCTTGAAACTTACATATTTTATTATTTCCTGCCTAGGCATAAACCTAAACTAAAAATTATGCTGGTCACTTGAAGCAAACAAAATATTGTGTATTTTTAACAACGTCTTTCAGACAGCGGATTAAATATTCGTGTTAGTATGCTGGCGGTAAATTATTTTTTCTCAAAAGTGCAACGGTATCAGGTATCCAATCTATTGCAGCTACTGAGTAATATGACACATCTACTAGAATAAATAATAAAA